ATACTACTACTACTACTACTACTACTGCTGCTGCTGCTGCAAATACTACTACTATACTACTACTACTACTACTACTGCTGCTGCTGCTAAATACTACTACTACTACTACTACTACTACTGCTGCTGCTGCTGCTGCAAATACTACTACTACTACTACTACTACTGCTACTACTACTACTACTACTACTACAGACAGACATGTGACAAGAGCAGATTTCACTGGACGTTTAATTGACCAAGAATTTCTTGCGATAAACGATAATTTTGACATTTTGAGACCAATTTTAACTTTTATAATGACCATGGAATAAAAATACAAACGCACTTTTAAAGATCAATAAACTTGACTTTCTAAAAAAACATTGAACACAGGAAGAGTAAGACGAACAAAAACAACAGGTGTAAATAAAACGGACTTGTTCACATGTAGTGTGACTCAGTGACGACCTGTTCACACAAATCCACTTGAATAAACCAAACACGACCAAAACAATCGATTATTAAATCTCTCGAACAAAATCACTCTTCAAAAAAGTGATTTTAGTCGTTGACTTATGTTGGAATAATCCAGGGGTGGGAAAACAGTTTGTCTCGGGGGCCACAAAGGTTCTAAAATTTAACGAAAGTCTGGACCAGGAGCAGATGATGGAGCAGGCCTGGAACGATAATCAATAAATCGATTAATCGTACGATGACTTAACGAGCTCAATCACTTTTCCAGCCACGATAATTTCTATTTGCAGCTTGTTTGTTTTTCTCGCTCTCAAAGAGACTGAATGTTCGACGCTTCTATCGCTCTGACGCCTCTCGTTTAACAAGTGTAATGACGCTTGAACCGACGGGGCGGCGTTTGTCGACGGGGCGGCGTGCGTCGACGGGGCGGCGTGCGTCGACGGGGCGGCGTTCGTCGACGGGGCGGCGTGCGTGCGTCGACGGGGCGGACGTGTGCGTAGTCTGCACGCTGTCTGTGACAAAACTGTTCGTCTCCGTTCATCGCCAAAACAAGCCACAATACCAAATCAACACTGGTGAGCAGGACACGTCTCAACTATGGATGGGCATTCGATGAAATTTTCTCAGTCAATCGTCGGGAGAATTAACGATCGATTATCGATTAATCATTAACGTTTTTATATTAACATGATCATCATTATTATTACTATCTGCACTAATCTGCATAAATGACAGACCCTGTTCCTGCTGCCGTGGCCTCGACATTTTGGTCTTGAAGTGTTCGTATGAACTCGTGACACATGATCCTGTTTGTGTGAGTGAGTCTCTGTTCTGTCTGGTGTCGTGGCTGAGTCTTGTGGGATTTCACTGGGTTTCAGGTTTTTCTCGGTGCCGGGGCTTGTTCTGTCGCTCGGGTTTGGGTTTATATCGTCCGTTTGGGTTTGACACGTTTCTTCTCGTCGTTTGTGTTTCGCTGCGTTTGACCCACGTGTCTGTTGAGACGTGTAAAGGTTCGTTCACACCAAAGCGTCAAACGCCTTGACGCCTCTATTTGGATGCGTTTGCATTTGAGTTTAGACGCCCCCGACGCTCGTGTCTTTGACGCTGTGGACAAACGGGACAAAAATACTTGACCCGTCCGTTGCCCTGGAAACAAGAGCCCGGTCCCGGTCTTTTCCCGAAACAATATCAGACCAGACTGAGAGAGTGTTTTTATGACATAAAACATCAGCGGAGGAGATCAGTCAACGACTGGGGCGTATATAAATTTATACTCCGCTAATGACTCCCGGTCTAGTCGGTCTAAGTCCCGGTCTAGTCCCGGTCTAGTCTTGTTAGTCCTGGTCCGGTCCTGGTGTAGTCCTGGCGATCGGCTCGGTGATTGTGGGTGTATATTTATGCTCTGCTCATGTTTGTGGTTCTCGTCTGGTCTGGGGTTTTTCTTCCTGATAATAACGTCGCTGGTCTCTGGATACTCGTCCCTGATTGGTTGACGCGGGCGTCTGACGCGAAAAGTTCAGCATTTTAATTCTTGACGCTGACGCCTTGGACGCGCGTCTTGGCCGCTGATGCCAAAACACTCAAGACGCGCCGCGCTGACGCGAAAACGCGCGCCAAACGCAGGAGGCTCTAGTCGCGCGTCCACATCGACTTTACATTGAAACTGGACGCTTTGACGCTTTGGTGTGAACGGCCCTTAATACTCACCGGTGTTAATTCGACATCGTGACGTGTTTTGTCTCTTTGAGATGAACTGTTTTGGTTCTGACGGCGGCGCTCGTGTCGCGGCTTCATGTTAAAGCCCACAGACGGCGGCACTAGTTTGTGTTTCTGCACTCAGACTCTGTGTGTGTGTGTGTGCGTGTGTGCGCCTGTGCGCGTCCACTGTGTCGATAAACACACACGTCAGTTCAAGAGTCGTTACACTTGATAAACGAGACAAGTCAGCGAGACAAACTTGAAACACTCACCCTCTGAGAGCGAGAAAAACAAACATGTAAATAGAATTCATCACGGTCGGAAAAGTGATCGAGTTTGTAAAGTTATCGTACGATGAAGTGATTTATTGATTATCGTTACAGGCCTCATTGGGTTGTGTTTCGGTGTGGTTTGGTTGTGGTCCGGTTGAACAGTGGTTTATTCGTTATCAAGTCATTTCTTGGTTAATCGTTCAGTAAAATCTGTTCTCATTATAAAAAAAAAAGTTCGCGTCCCAGACCCAAGAACCAGACCCAAGAACCAGACCCAAGAACCAGACCCAAGAACCAGACCCAAGAACCAGACCCAAGAACCAGACCCAAGAACCAGACCCAAGAACCAGACCCAAGAACCAGTGAGGACTCAAAACTGCAGCTGAATCTTCATTTTTGTCTCGTGTGTTTCTGTTTTAGAACCGAATAACGAGTCGCCTCTGAACACGACGGCCGCCGAACTGTGGGACAATCAGGAAGGTCAGTCTGCTGGAGGGTTTGAGGTCCTCTGGGGTGGTGGGGGGGGGGTTTGAGGTCCCGTGGTGGGTTTGAGGTCCTGACCTGTGTGTATCTGTGTGTGTTGTGTGTGTGTGCAGCGTTCAAGGCCCACCTGCTCGCAACGTTCCAGAAGTGAATCTTCGTGTAAAACCAAACAGTGTTTTTGTAAAATATTTGAGTGTTTGGTTTTTGTGTGTCACGTTCTTCTTAATAAAAGCTCTTAGTCACACTGAGTCTCCTCTGTTTCCTCACGGAAAGAAACACTGCGGAACATGACCCGCTTCATCTGTGCACCGCGCACCACTATACATATACACACAAACAATACACACAAACACACACACACTATATACACACACACAGAGACACACACATCACACACATCACACAACGGTGTGTTTCACTGTGTGTATAGTGTGTGTGTGTGTATATGTGTATATGTATGTGTGTGTGTGTGTGTGTGTGTGTGTGTGTGTATGTGTTGTGTGTGTATAGTGTGTGTAATGTGTGTGTATGTTGTGTGTTATTGTGTGTGTGTTAGTGTGTGTATGTGTTGTATAGTGTGTGTATATAGTGTGTGTATATGTGTGTATATGTATAGTATATGTGTATATTGTGTGTGTGTATGTGTTTATATGTGTGTATGTGTTTGTGTTATAGTGTGTAAGTGTGTATAGTGTGTGTGTGTGTGTATGTGTGTGTGTTTTAACGAGGTTTTTCCAGTTGTATCTTTAACGAGCTTTGGGACCTGAGTTCATTTTTAATTATGACCTCGTCCCACAGGAGAAAGAACAGAGGAGGGGGGGGGGGGGTTACACAGGGAGGACTCTGCTCCTGTCGTTTCCTAACGTCTCACCTGTCTCACCTGTCTCACCTGTCTCACCTGCTGGTGTGTGTCTCTTGAACGTCTCGGTGGAACAGGTAGGAGGATTTCAATATCTCTGTAAATCTAGATCTAAATATCTCTGTAAATCTAGATCTAAATATCTGTGAAGTGAATGAAAATCACAGAATCTGATCCGGGTCTGAGGTTTTGTGGATGTGTTTTATAAAATAGCTACTCTGGATTTTTATGTTAAGACATAAAACTTTTATAACGACAAGTTTCTCCAGATTAAATCCTTGGAGGTGCCCAGGTGGACACCAACCTGCACTACACTTGTACATGTCCATGTCCCTGAAGGTCTGAAGGTCTGAAGGTCGGTCTGTGGTCCCTGTCGTCTCTGCACGTCCAGCTTCAGGACTCTGGTTGTGTTTGGTGATGTGTGAACGGGTCCGTGTGGACAGATCACACATCACACACACACAGCACAGGTTCTTTTTGAGCAGCAGCTCGTACATTTATTTGATGAGTTCCAGTAGAGACGAAAGGTTTTTGTTAAAGTTGTTTTGCTCATGGACGTTATGGAGTAAGAGCAGAGAGAAGAGGATCTGATTAGACATTTAACACGACAATCCAATCACCAGTGACTAATTCTTCATATTTATATGTAGTGCACAGCAGTAATAATAAAACATCATCAAATGAAAACAATTAAATGTGGTAAATGTCACTAAAACAGTTATAACACACAACACATCAAGACTCTGACGGCTCCAACTGCTCGAGTAAATACAAGAGCCATAAAAACAAACAAACCAATAAAGACTAAAACATTTCACGTAAACTTTTTGGAGCAATAAACATGAAGATGGTAAATATCAACTAAGATGTGGATAGATTTGATGAAGTGTGAGTGTCGCACGTTTCAGAGTCACTTGCTGCTGCTGCTGCTGCTGCTGCTGCTGCTGCTGCTGCTGCTGCTGCTGCTGCTGCTGCTGCTGCTGCTGCTGCTGCTCTTGGACATGGACCAAAAACAACAACCACAGCGACTTCATCATGAAAACAACGTACAAGAGCACCACCTAGTGCTCACTCCCTCATGTGCACTTGTACACTTGTACACTTACACTTGTACACTTGTACACTTGCGCTCTCTGGACCTGCTGCTGTGACCCGTGTGACCTGAGTTCTGTCTGTGGACCTGTAGTTTGGTCTGAGATGTTCCTCTGAAGCCGCCTCAGGATCCTGGAACATTT